ATTACTTACACTAACCCAACTTACTGAAGGCTATAGGGAAGAGGAAATCAGTAAGCTGGTTAAACGTTCGCTGCATAAGTAGTAGAGTTGAGTTAGGTGTAATTGGCTATTCTGAAGACTGGACTGGCTTTCAATTTCCGTTCTACCAACAGTTGTAGTCTTTTACACGAGCTAGGGTGGACATGTTGATGTGTCTTTCTAGGTTCCATTATAAACCATCGCGGTGTTTATAAGATCTAATTTCAGATGGTAGTTGGTTCCAAAGAACGCAATATTTAATGGTGGAAAGTTCGGCCTCACGGTTTTTCTGTGGGTAGCCACCTTGACAAGGTGGTCGTGGTTTTGCAACCGATATTACTTAAAATTTGCCCATGTTATGCATGAGATACTGAAAACTTGCTTCCTAATAACTTTAAAGAGTAGAAATAAGTTACACTTCTCAAGTTCTAGGGGTTACAGTTTCAGTTGTTTACACCTGTCAACATATTCCGCTTGTTGGTCAAACCCCATTACGCGTTTTGTGAGGAATCTCTGCACACTTTCGACATTTTTGGTCTGCACACCTTAGGTTACTATAAAGGAGAGCACAATATTCAAGTTTCGGGAAAATACATGCCTTATACACAGCTAGTCTCTCTTCTTGAGTGTAAAAGTTACGCAGAAGGCAACCAGTCAGATACTACTTTATTTGCATGATCGCAAAAGGTTGAATCCAAGTACGCTATACCAAGCTCCGTGACTGTGCCCATGTTTGAAAGGGAGTTGCCATACATATATAGACACACGCTTGGTTTCCAGCGTCCAAGTGGGCTATACCGCACTTGTCTAAGTTGAAATTCATTTGCTGATTTTCGCTCTAATCTCCTAGCCCACCTAAGTCGTTTTGGATCTTACTTTCACCGCTCACGTCGTCGTACTCGAAATCATTCAGTATCTTGAGATCATCTGCAAAGAGATTTGGCTTGCCATACTCGATCACAGAGACTTTGTCATTTATCAGCAAGAGGGACAGAATAGGACCAAGAACGCTACCTTGTATTGCACCGCTGGTTATCCTCTCAGGTGGACACAGCTGGTGGTTGATTCTGACTAAATGTCCTCTTTCTGTGAGGAAAGCACTCATCAACTTGAGAAGCTTTGCAATTATTCCGTGGGACTGGAGTTTTGTTATGGGTCTGATATATGTGGAACTCTTTCAAAGGCTTTACTAATGTCGAGAAATAATGTTGCTAATAAATGTCCACTATCTATGCCACGGAGACGAAAGATCGTGACGGAGCACATAGCGGGAGAGGGTGGGTATGTATTCACACGTATGTCAACTAGGACACAATAATATGATAATAATCGGCGCTGCTTAAAAATGACAGAATCAGTCGACAGACTAAATAAAAGCACCCTGACATCAGTTTTGAAAAATTGATTATTATTATTGTTTCCTTTAATTCCTAGAGGAGCATAGGGCTTCAGCCGTGCGTTTCCATTGTGTTCGGTTCTCTGCTAGAGTTTTCACCTGGCTCCAAGTCTGCCACATGTTTTCATCTCCTCTTCTTATGACCTCCTTCAGGTCACCCTTGGACGACCAACTCGCCGCCTCCCTTCCGTGTCCTTTTTTAAAAAATTAAACAGTGAAAATCACTTTGAAATCATGATTACACAATAGCACTCATACTTTTTCACCTTGTAAGCAAAGTCTTTGCCGATGAACCGCACTTCCTTGAAACCTTAAGCGAACTCTGATAAAATCAGTAAGGTTTATAGTAGATGATGAGACTGGGACTTAAGTGACTAGTTATTATTAAATATTAGTGCGAACACGACATTGTTTGAATCAAGCCAATTACGTGACCACAAGACTGACTCCAGTGTGCTTTCTCAGAATCACAGAAAGTTCAGAAACTGAGAGGAATTCAATTTTGAGCGATGCTCACACTTCTAAGGTGTTAGTCATCCGAATCCTATGTCTAACAGAGTGCACCATTTGGCAGCTAGTTGGACCAAAGTGAACGGCGCCTCAACGGAGAGGAATTTTGCGGAGTCAAAGTTTGGAGTTTGATGATACTCAACTCTCTGCCCGTCTAGCACAGAAGCGCCGAGGTGGACTGACGACTTACCTAACCATTATGCACAGTCGGACGGACAAATATTCTGCGTTGCCTATTCTGGATGGCCTAGAAAATCCGAATGTTGTGGATGCAATGGAGTCGTGGCTAACACCGAGTACCAGCAACAGTGAAGCCAACCTATGGTCGACCTGCTTAATTTGGGCTACCGATATCACATACTGAAAATTCCATACTTGTATCAAAAATATTGTGTGGAGTCAAGCTATAATAAAATACGGCACTCTCAGCCGATTCCTTCGGAAGCAAAGTGGTAGAACCTTTCATTTTGCCGACACTAGTCTGGCGGGCCAAGGAAACGATTGCCTTGTGATCCTCAGCAGTGTTCTTCAACCCTGATACTCGTTTTCTTCACGGTGAGGGTTGGAGCATCATCTTCATCTCCCACCCATAGGAAAATGTGACTTCGCTGTGCTCGCTTTAAAGTTCACAGCCTCTGCAGTATTCAGGTCCGATACCTGAGCTGAACCGGATGTATGAAAAGTCGGTATAGACGCTACCACTAGTTAAGTCTCATCAAAAGACTGGATTCTAGACCCGAAAGCCAATGTGGAAGAAGTTAACCCAAACAACAGTACGTTACAGTGACTCAACCCAACGTCTTCCCCCTTTTTCACAGCTTTCCCTGGAGCATGACACTGAGGCAGTAGTGTTATACCCCACATATGTATCACAAACTATGCTCCTCTGTTTTTCAGAAAGCAGTTTGTACACTTGATGGGGACCAGATATTCTCCATCACGAATTCTGTTGGCCGAATCAATACTGAATAAGAATTACTGGTACCGCAACATACTTATCAGTTGCAATGTACTTTTTGGACTTCTAAGATACGAGATTGAGCACCACAGCATTTAGTGTACGTTCTGTTACTCTTAAAGCAGCAATCGATGTATAGTTTGTTGACCCTATGTTTCTACTTAGCATCAGCCAGTTACCCACTATAACATGGTCTTTGTAAATCGCTAGTGAAAATCGGCAGATAGTCATCATTTCTGTATGTTTAATTGCGATGTGATCCATTAATTCCGGACTTCTACGTTGATGAGACAATTTTATGAAATTTTGATCTTGTTTTTGTATGTGAACTGCGTCGGGGCAGGCTAAAGTTCTAGGAAGTGCACATCCTTCCCGGGTCTTTAAAAGCCATCCAGAAAGCGGTGCATTGCCCTCAAAATCGAAGCTATTGCAGGAATTCGTATACCGCAGATAAAATCTAGAATGCGTCTAGCTCAAAACACATCCGTACGACCCAAGAGACTATTTTTGTGCATGAACATCTAACAGAGTTATTAACCTGATTGCCGACATATTATCTCACAGAATCAAGAAAAATTTTCACACAGGTGTTGCCACTCGTCACAGCAACAGATCCAGCTGCCCTACAACGAAATGAGGTAGGTTGTGTCCATATCGACCAAAACACATCATTCCAATCGCCAAGCAAGTTAGACATAGAGTAATCAGTGATCTTCGCTTAAGGCATCCCAAGAAGCTGGAGGTAGGCGAAGCATGCAGTCGACTACTATTTTCATTTTTACTATGTTACATCTAGTATTACCACATGATTTCACGGGTGTATCAGTAAACCCTATCCAGAAGTCAGGACCTAAGTAGTGTTTTCCAAGCTACAAGCCTAACAATCGTGCCACTTCTTTGATCAACATATTGAATGGGACAGTCAAAAACCTATCATGTCATATTTAGAAAGTGACAACTTACTATCCAGTGCACAACACTGCTGATGAAGAAACGTGTGGTGTCTGACAAACATCACGCCGAGGGAAGCTAGTTCAAGCTCAGGGACAGTAAGAAAAAAAGACGTTGTCTTCGCAGATGTCAGCTAGGCTTTAGAAAAAGTTCTTCATGAAAGATTGCACATGAAACTGTAAAGTTTAAAAAAGAGCATCTCGCTCAATTGAACCAAGGAGTTTCACACAGCTAGGAGTCAGCAAGTCGAGATCAACTGATGTCTGTCTCAGTGGAAAACAGTTAGCAGTGTATCGTAAAATACAGTGCCTTGCTCCTTTTGTTTACCATGTATATGAGCGATTAACATGGCTAATCACATCTCCTGTGCGTTTCCATGGAGGTAACCGAAAGATTCGAAGTAAGCATGAGGAATGTAACGTAATTATTACACTTCAAACCGACCTTAGCCATTTAGATCGGATGCTCTCAATCAATGTAGACAGCGGTGCAAACAAGTGAGTCGGGCACGTAGGTTTTACCGTACACTTAATATAGGGTACACCACTCTCTTCGTTTCACCCTCACACGAACTTAGGTGTCTCAGTAAGTCTTTACTGAATACTATGGCTAACTGTTGATCACTGATAGCTCTCAGCTTATGATCCTTATGAAAACTATATGGGATCTCTATAAGAATTACCAATGAAAAGTTAACCTTTCAATATGCATCTTTGATGAGGTTAGAAACATAACCGTTGAATTCAGACAGCTATTCTCTGACTCAGAGAAAATTAAATATATCAGATAGGCAAGGGTACACGAATGATTCTCAATGTGTGACTAATTTATTATACAAGGAACAAATGAACGGACACAAGAAGCACAAGAAGCCGACATGTCAACCTGAGACCGAGCACTTCGGTCCAATCAATCGACGTGAAAATCTAAAATTCAATTAAAGAATTTTGAAGTCTTCTATTCTCAATAGAAAATCCGAATCCGAATATTTAGAATAAATATTGGATACTGGACAGTATGAGAATGAGTATCTCAAATAACCCTTCGCTTTTTCGTGAATCAAAACAAAATAAAAACTAATTTATTTACCAGTGAAGTAGTGATATAGATGAGAAATACTCTACCAAGCAAATTTCAAAGTTTGTTGGTTTCAGGCTTTTGGTAGGTCAAACCTTGGTGACCTTGTGATTTGCGCCAAATTTTGGTTTTCATCTCAGGATGACAGGTTCTGACGAACAAATGCAGGAGGCTGCCGAAATGGATCGTCAGCACTTTCTTAAAACATTAGCAGCCTTCAAATTTTTCGGGTGAGTTCTTAAATTGCGTATTTTGACTTGATACACAGAGCCCACCTCCTCAAAAGGGTAGAGCGTTCAAGAGCTTATCACAAGTCATTGTCTTCTTCTCATCATAAACTTATACAAGAATTCGATGAAAATCTCAAGAAAGTCGAAGAGTGTATTAAGCATAATAACTATTTGATTTCTGTTATTATTCAACATTCTGCACCGGATATTTTCAATGGGGAACATGTAGGTTTTTGGCAACTTTTATTTTGATAAATAAGGCCTTGGAAGTGAATGCAGCGGGTTCACCACTTACTCGTGCAAATGGAAAGTTAGATCAGAAAGCTTGTCCTGGGAATAAATTCGGTCCATTCGCATTTACAAACACTGACATGGATAAAGTCAGGTCAGCTTTGAAACAATTTGTGAGAGACTGGTCAGCTGAAGGAAAATCAGAACGTGATGCCTGCTACCAAATCGTTTTGGATGATGTTCTTGAGCTGTTTGATCCGAAAAAGGTGTAAGTCTGTCGTGTCTTTCTCCATACCTCTTAAGTCTAGGCAGAATATACGTTTAGGTAGAATTTTTTAAAAGTTGACTGTTTCATTCTCTAGTACAGTGTGAGTTCTTTCCATATGCCTGGGATAATAAAACATTATGTATGGTTATCATGTACAATTATTTGGAATTTTTTTGGAGAGTTAAGGTCTTATGGAGAAATGTTCCTATGCATTGGGTTTACAATAGGGTTTATCCACCCTTCTCAGTGGATTTGGGTGACTCATATGTTGGAATCGTGAGCGCATATTAGGTGATAAGTGGGGGAAATAAAAGTCCAAGCACTATTTGATACATTAACCTGTTCTTAACATGTTACGTTGCGAATGCATTGCAGCTTATTTTTGTTAAGTGTTGTACTCGAATATGTGAATTGTAGTTCACTGCCTTATATTCCTTAGTTTCTCCTATAGCATCGTCATTCAGGGGTGTCATTAACTCTTTTGTTTAAACAACTTAAACAGTCGAAAGCCCTTGCATCTGTGTCACTTTAATATGACTAAATGTAGATGGTTTTTAACCAACTTGTTGCAGTCACTTTTCTCTTTTGGAGGTGTGCAAATCTAACTTAGCGGTATTTTGCTGCGTTAAATTTGCAAAGTGGCAACATTCTTGCATCAGAAAATCAGAAAAATAGACTTTTCGACAGCGGATATGCAAATGCTTCTCTATTGCTCCATCATCCTTACCCTAGAAATGTTTTCAAGACTTGGTGTCCCATCGATTAAGATGCGACATTTCAAGTTTGTAGAATGCATGAAATCCGAGTCACAGGAATACTTAGTCATAGTTTGAGCATCAGTTAGATAGTTAGCACCCATAAAAGCTGATCAGTAAACTGAGTACGAAGCAGTATATATGTAGTTGCTGTTCATATAGACATTCTGTCATATTTAGTTAGTGGAAATTACATGTTATACATGTCTACTTACAAAATCAATCTACAATAATATGGTCAGCAGTTGATAGTTCCCCTGTACTACTTCACAGCGTAAATCTGTGGTTTATTGGTTTAATTGTTAGGATTAAAACTACTGGGCTATTAAAGTAGAATCTTGGCTAACATATTGATGTTTAGGCAGGCAGGTAGTGCCGTCAACCACTATCGCTACGTGTTTGTTAGTGCATGCGGTTGCCAGAAAACACTTCCTTCTGACTTGTAAAGTAGAGTGTTTTGGTGAATGACAGTAATTTCGTACTGTGTGATTTAAACTGTTATGTTATGTTGGTTAAAATTAGTATTGTAGCTTATTTCTTCATGCCTGAATCATCAAGATCTCCATATTAATCTCCGTGTATTTCCATTAGATTTATTTCTGCATCATGCTCACTCTAGCTGTGATAATAAAACGATGAAGCACTGACTAGTTCCTCTGAGCATATATATGTACATGAATATTTATGTAAGTCCGTATTGACAGTGTTTTGCTTATTAATGTATTAAAACAAGTGTTTAATAATCTTTTTATGCATTATTAGAAATCCAGCAGATGTGAATATCCTAGTACCTGGTGCTGGTCTTGGTCGATTGGCTTGGGAACTCGCTCATCTTGGATACACATGTCAGGGAAATGAGTGGAGTCTATTTATGCTAATTCCAGCATATTTTATCCTAAACACGTATGTCTCCATGCATTCCACTTATATATATACTCAGTTTTATACATTTTAACTCCATGTTTTTTTTTCGAGGTAATTTAGGAAGTTAATCCTAATAGTAGAGACTTGTAAGTCAGGTGGATGCTTTTGATGTGGTTTCGTTCTTTGAACTTGGCAGATTAATTGCAAAATTCTAAGCGGAAGTCTTATTGTGAAGTAAACCTTTTTGAATCCTCCAAAAGTGATATAACTGTATCCCTTGGCAACCTTTTTCATCATCGGTGATCAATTCACATTAGTTTTGATTGTTTTCATTGACTGGCAGTTCTACTCTTTTTGTCATGTGGCTTATTCTTTGTTAGCCGAGAAATTCGCTTTTATAATCATGTGTCTGTTAATCAACGATTAATTTGGGTCTGTCTCTGTCTATCTGGATTCAACATAGAGCTTGCCACCGAAGTGCAGCACTTCGAGTTGCCACGTTCCAAATACCACACAAAGGTAGACAAGAAAATGAGTGAAGAGAATCAATAGAGTTTTGACAAGTATAAGAGTGAAACAGAATGAGTAACGGTAGAAAGGAATATGAAAGATTACAGAGACTGAATACATCTGCGTAAGCCACTGACAATGATTTTGAGCCATGTCGCCTTTTGTCTCCAGCCAAGATTGATTCTTAGAGTCCCGAGGGTGGGCCCCAACCCGGAAGTTTGCATCTCCCTACCTGACTCAGTTTAACTGTCAAGGATTTCATGGATTGATGACATGTTTTTGTTTGGCCACCACTTACTCTTTTTCAACCTGCACCTATATCAGCTAGTAATGCCCGTCGGGAGGGGGAGGCGATGGTTAGGCATGCGCAGCGCGTGACCTAGCCATCGCAATCTATGTAACTTTATAGCCTCTTCGATTGATTTTCCCTTTTCGCCCAACACTCTACGCCTAATGTCAACATTACTTACCTTATTATGCCACGTAACGTGAGAAAGAGATCGTAAACATCTATGATCAAAAACAGTCAACGTTTTCATGTCTTCAAGTCGTATTGGCCATGTTTCAGAGCCATAGAGAAGGACGGAGCGAACTGCTGAGCAGTACACACGTCCCTTGGTTGATAGTCGAATGTCACGCCTACGCCAGAGATGGTATAAGTTACCTGACTTTTAGTAATTCCTTGCCAGCTTTGTTGTTTCCACTGTCTAAAACTTCTGCATTTCCCCAGTTAAATTGGTGTCCATCTTCCTCTGAACATATTGATATAAAAGAATATATGTCGCGTCTTTTAAGGCCTACTGCATAGTCTTGGATTCAGAGTCTAAGGAGATGTCCATTTTGATCGATATACATAGTTATCACAGTTAATACAGTTTATTTTCTAAAAACGATGTTGGTCTTGTGTTCTTTTGTTGTTGGTTTTTTCTCTCTGCATAGTGTTGAATGAAGTGATTGTATTGGTTTGTGTTCTGTATCTATTGCGAATGTTATTTTAGTCATGCTAACCTCAGCGATAACCGGTTGCAGTAGACTAAAAGCCGTAGGTAGATCTTGTAGAAGCGATGTAATGCCAACCAGTTGTTTGAATCCTAAGTCTATACCGAAGTATTCCTGGTTGTGAAGGCCAAGTGCTTAGATGTCATAAGCTACAGCTTCACATTAAATTCATGAATTAACGATTTTTTGCCATGTTCACGCTGAATTTTGGGCGGTTACATGAGCTACGCTTAACTTGGTTGGTATCCTCGGGACGTTAAAAACTAACGGTCTGTGATTGTTGGTCACATGGCTTAAAATCGTTTTCAGTTGGCGCGGATGCATTCGCTCTTTTTTATCTCCTATATCCATTAAACGTCCATGTATTTTCATGTTATTGTTCTTTCCCCCTTACATTTTTGCCTATTATACTTCTTTTCAGTCTCTTCTTCCTCTCACTTCTCTACCTTTATGTGGAGTGTGTCAACGGGAACTACTGCGCTTCTGTGCAAAGTTCTATGTCGAAACTCAGTCATTCAGCAAGGGTATATCCTATGAGTTGTTGGTATTAGATAGTTGGAGGCGATCGGCAGGAAGCTTTGGGTCTGAGTTTCGTGCTAGTTGGCATTCATCAACACTAAAGTTTGGACTAAACATACATACTACATAATTTACTGACTAGTTTTCAATCAAAAATATCCAATACAGTCCTACAGGAGGTCAGTCACGAGCCCAAATAGCTCAATGGTAACGTCTCTGACTGCAGTACTCACTGGGTGACGCGGGCTCGAATCTCAGAAGCAGGGACATGAGTTCCTTTGAGGTTGCAGATAAGACTTGCTGACTGGTGAGTGCCAACTAGCACGAAACCTAGGTCAGGCAGGGCTTCCTGCCGATTGCCTCCAACCATCTAATACAAACAATTCACAGTGCACCGTGATGGTGAGCCACATTGCAAATTTGACTGATAGAATTCAGTCTGCACCAAGGATAGGACTAGACACATTACACTAGTTACTGACTAGTGTCCAATGAAGGATATTTATAGTATTTATAGGTTCACACCTCCATATACTGACTAATATTCATTCACTAACATTTATCTACATCTTACGCAAATAGTTCTCTCAAGTTATTTGTAGCCTCTTCATGCATTCCACCTTCAAAGATATTTTCTCGTGTGTATAAGAGAATAAGATGAATCGTTAAGGGATGCCTTTCTGAAGAACAATCAACAAGCCGCAGAGATAGTGTTGATTTTTCAAGTATCAGATGGACATTGTGCATCTATACTGCAGTTTTGTTAGCCAGTAACTAACCAGAATTGGTACTGCCTTTTTAGATAGTTGAAATGGTCACTAAACTATTGTAATCAGTTCATCTCAACTATGAAGCGTAATATTTAAAATCGTCATATATGTGTTTCCTATTTTTGTAGATGTAAAAAAGTCAATGAATATAAATTATATCCATGGGTTTCTCAATTCTGTAATAATATGACTCGTGAAGATCAACTGTCTGCCGTCCACTTCCCTGATGTTTGTCCAGCTGATTTACCACCCAATGTACAATTTTCTATGGCAGCAGGTGATTTCATTGAGATTTACACTGAACCAGGTAATGTATATTTATAATTATTATTCATTTTGAGTACTTCCTTAATGTGTATCCATGTTTTTTGCTCAAAAACCATTGTTAACGAATTCCATTATTGGGTAAAATTTATTTTGATAACTGTTAAGGCAGGCTTAGTTAAGTGTCTAACAAACCGAGCAGTAGCACTGAATAGTACAAGAAAAGACATAAATGATGAAATGAAACAGATAGAAGAAGCGTTGGTATCAAATAACTATCCTATAGAATTCATTAGGAATATCAAAAAAGGTCAAAAGCAAAATAAAAATAATGGTGAAACTAATAATGATAAAATAAATAAAAGAAAATATAAGGCATCTACAGTTATATCATATAAGGAGGGGACATCTGAGACACTCCCTACGTAGGATTCTTAATAAAGCAGGGATTAGAGTGGCATTTAAACCTACAAACTCACTCAGACAGGACAAGCTCTGTAGGCTAAAGGACACGGTGAACCCAATTAAACAAAATAATATAATTTACAAAATACCCTGCAATGACTGTGAGGTCAACTATATAGGTCAAACTAGTAGATCAGGAGTAATCAGATTGGCAGAACATAAGAATTTGGCTAAGGTAAGAATGGTTGACCCCGAGAAGATAAGTAATTTAGAAAAAAGCTCAGCAATCGCACTGCATGCATTAACACACAAACACAAAATAAGGTGGGTGGGAGAGGGTCAAAATTCTAAAAAGTAATATAGGTAGGTAGAGAGCGAGGAAGATGGATTACTGAATCCTGGTTCATCGAGTCTACACCCAACACATGCAATAGGAATGACTCATCACTCACACCGGAAATATGGAAAATAATGGAATTATATGAACAAAGTTAGAAAGTTGTATGAGTGCCTTGGAATGATTATGAGTGGCAATAAATTGTGCTCGAAACGTGGTCATCAGTAAATATTACTGTGTATAACACTGTGAGACTTTATCAAAACAAAATTTACCCATAATGGAACTATACTGTACCGCAGTGCACAAGTTTGATTCTTATATCATTGTTAACGAATATGTTCATTCATTCATTCGTTCCATCATGATCACACTAGCCTTTTTTCTGTTGTAGGAACTATAGCTTGAAGCTTTTATAGCAAAGCATTGCCTCCAAGACTCATTCTTAACATTTTATTTTCACTTATAATAAAGCATTGTCTTCCCTAGTAAATGACTTAATAGCGTATCTAGGAAATCTGTTCTAGCCTGTGGTTCATTGTTTTCTTGTATGAATAATCTACAACTAACTTATTGATCCAGTCACCTATATCCCAATCACTAGGTCACATATTGAAACTCAGCTTCCCTAATTGGTGTGTGACTTTGGACAGGCAGCCGGCTGGTCTCATCAGTTTTGTATAGATGTGGCTCTTGACTGAAGGACTCCTAAACTTTGCCTTGCAAATGTTTAGCGCGGAATGGGTGGCAGTGGAAGTTAGATGTGAGGCTAGTAACCCCACCGTGTATAAAACCATCACCTCAGCTACTGAAAACTTCAAAAATGCTTGAAAACCGTATGTTCCACTTGAAACACAAGAAATGTAGAGAAAGCTTTTCAGTGCTTCTTATAATATATATATATATATATATATATATATATATATATAAGAACGCCTAAGTCAGCAAAGAGATCTCTTCTGGTCGTAAATTCATTTCAGAGCTGTGTAGTTATTTGCGGAGTTCTTATCTACAATGTTAATTGAATTAACGACAAAGGTCCAAGGTAACTGTCAGTTAGTAACAAAACAAATAAAAGTGTACTTTACGTATGTGACTCATAAATGAAGTCTTCGCTGCTACTGTGTGATTAGAAGTAATAATGTGCTCCAGAATTAAGCTGTTGGCTGTTCTGCGTTCTCATTTTGCCAACCAAGATGATAAGTGTTCTTATGCACATCTAGACATTATCATGCTGGTTCGACTTATGTACATAACTCCAAAGGAGCAACTGAACTGGTATATATGCACATCAAGGTTGCCAACAGTGCGTTCTTGTCTTTCACATTTTGATGAACAAGATTATGTGTAGAGGTAAGATGTAAAGATGCAGCAGAAGATATCCTTCGAATTGCTATCGACGAACAGCTTTTTGAGAAATTCACCAGTTGTATCTCCCTTGAATTTCAGATATCCGGTTGGTTGTTTTTGTTTTGATAAAACCAGGTTACGTGAGACCATCAGTCTTTATCTTTAGATGTTTGTCTATGGAAGAGGTTAGATATCTATTTTTTGTTAGTGTTTCTGAAGGATTCTCCTTTCTTATACAATGTATATTTAAGGTTTATGCGATCGATTCTCGTCACAAGAGAGGCAATGATATTTCTTTTTTCTGCTAATTGAGACAAAAACTGTGAGACTTTGTTCGTTCTATTTTGACTTGCGGTGAATTGAACATTGTGGAGTTCCTTCTGTTCGTTTTGAAAGCTGAACAACAAGAACGGATAATTTACCGCCTGGCTCCACATCATTTTTTTTAATTTGATTAATTTATGAGTGTTGTTAAAGACTCCCAGGATTCTTACCTAACTCAGTATTCTTTAAAATCGATAATAATAATAATGGTATCATCCATGTACTGCCGCTTGTGAGACTATGAACTGATTGACTGTTGATTGAAGACTGTTGTATTCAAGGTGTATCGGAAGAAAATCGGCGAAAACTAATTTTAAGGAAAAACACAGTTTTGTTCAGCGAAGAATTATCTCTTTTCAACAACTTCATTTGCAAGCTGTACAGTCGTATTTATATTACGGAAAAAAGTATTAAGTGACACTAGAAATTGCCCAGTCACTATACAAAGGTTTATTGACAGAAACATCTAGAAAGAAACAGTCCCCAGCCGAATCGCAGTGTCAAAGAAGACACTTTATGAGTTTGGTGTTCAAAGGTGACACTGTAGCTGAAGTCATTAAAAGTCGTTTATCTAAGTGTATTGAACACTTTTTATACAGCTGACTTACATTTAATATTTACGGGCGAAATATAATTTGACAATGCGTTAAGGATAAACTACCGCTTATGTCCACCCCTTTGTACATATGCTTATTCACATGCTCGTGTGAAGCCGATTACATTGGACATTATAAGCGTGTTCTCCGTAAACGCGTAGCTGAACACTACCCGGTTTGATTGATGAAAGGTGAGCATAGAACGAAGTCTTCAATTTTCGAACACCTTCTGCAGTCTGATCATTTAGCCCCCACCCAGCACGTGATTTATCCTTTAAAGTTATTTACAGGACCAAATCCAATCACTGCAAAAGCTTACGTTTTCTCCACTTATGTATAGCCGAAGCTCTAGCTATGCATTGACGGAAACCTAAATTATGTGTTCCAAAACGTTTTCTTGAACCCCTTTCTTTACCTTGATCATAGTAATGTTTTTTCTATTTTATTTTATTTTACCACTTGAATTCATTCCACTTCACTTCATCTTCGCCATCTTTACTGTTATCATCATCACACTTAATTTCCCAGACAACACTTGACCTAAAATTTTAAAATCTTGATACCAGTTCACTTATTTAATAATCTTTAAAAGTTTTGTAATTCACCTACTTCAACTCTACCCTATCCCCTTAGTACATCATTTTAATTATCTTTATTCTTATCATATGTGCAATATTGACTGAGCAGTTTCTAGTGCCACTTAATGCCTTATTTTTCCGTAATATAAATACGACTGTACAGTTAGCTTGAAAATGAAGACGTTAAACCACAGAGAAACTGTGTTTTTCTTCATGAATTAATGGGTTTATTTCGCAATGTGAAAACCCATGTCGACCATATAAGATAACTCACAATATTTAAAATACATTGTGGGAAGTCCACCAAGTCAGACAAGAAATCAGTTACTCTTCTACAACATTGGCTGGCAGTTGTGCTGTATGTGTCTCGAAGTAGTAGAAGTTGGAACTCATAGGCCATTGGATCGAGTCCCTGTGACCGAATGGTCTACGAGCTTGCCTTGTAACAAAAAGGTCCTGGATTCGAACCCCCCCGGGGGTGGGTGAGTACTGGCGAAGAGCCCCAAACTAGGCTGACGAAACAGTTGTCCAGTACTCCCGATTGGTTTTCCAATTGTTCTCTAACTGATTTCAATGCACGACCAAACCTGTAACCAATTAAATTCCTGAGAATCAACACATTGTCATTTCTCATACACTTTGATTTATTGTTTTTTTTACCAACTAACAATAATCTCTGATTTAATTCAATTTTGGACTTTCCTGTCGATTGATTGGACCGAAGTGCTCGGTCTCAGGTCGACGTGTCAGCTTCTTGTGCAGATGCTTTGACAGTGTCTGGGCATGTAATTATAAGTTGATTGTTGGATGGTGACTAGCAGTGGAATCCATGGATACGCATTTCGTCCTATTTGGGACTCGTCAACTGGATGTACGTGCATTCCTCAGTGAGTGGTGATGTTCCCACCGAGGCTTATCATCATCACTCACTGCGGAATGCAGGTACATCCAGCTTGGAGAAGAGTCCCGAATAGGACGAAATGCGCATCCTGGATTCCACTGCTAGTCACCAATCAACAACCTCTGATCTTTGTTGTCACTTGACATTGTATATATAAATCTCCTAAATAACTGTACAAATATGAAGTGAAGTGACGAACAGAAGAGATCTCTTTGCTGACTTATGCGTTCCTAACTACACTACATGGGAATCATCATGATGATACTCTCGCATTATCCATCATTTTCTCAGCATGCATATTCATGAAATAATCACAGTTGCAATAAGTTGCATAATTCGTAGAAACACTGATGCTTTAAAGGGTCGTTTTCATATTTGTTATTTCTTTCTTTTTTTTTTCTTTATCATTTTCAGATGCATGGGATTGTATAGCTACTGTCTTCTTCATTGATACAGCGCATAATATTCTTGACTATTTGAATACAATCTGGCGGATACTTAAACCTGGTGGTTATTGGATCAATTTCGGTAAAAATTGTCTCTTTATTTTTTTCTTCTGTTCTCCTTTTTCTTTTGTTTTTCATCAAGTGGTAGCGATGTAGCGATTTGATTAGTATCCTATATGCTCACGAACTGACTGACATCAGTTGAAGAACGATTGAAAACTAGCACGGACGATTACTGGACAGCTGTGTTTCGTCAGCCTGGTTTGCGACTCTTCAGCTTACTTGTGGAAGGATCGTTTTACGATTGTAATTTACAAATCAGTTAGCAATATACATCTCGTTCCGATGCGTCGGTGGCTTAACGGTAGAATGCCCGCCAATCATGCCTGTGGTCCGTGGTTCGACAACTGGCCGACGCACTCCTCTACCCCTCGTTAAGCCGGTAACAACACCTGTAAAGAGGGAAGGTTGGACTAGCGTGAGGCTATCCCCTCGTAAAAATAAACATCACTGCTACTGAAACTTCGAAGCTCTAGCTTGAAGCCCTATAATCCACTGGGATTGTAAAGGAATAAAATCATACCTTGTTTCAAGGAAGTGAAATTTCACTACAGTTCCCTTTGGAAACCGAGATTATTCCGATCACACACACACACACAACATGCGATCTGCTTGATACCATGAGTGGTAATCAAAACAAATACGAATGCCTACAACTATGTACTACTAGTGATTGATAGGGATAAGTAGTTGTTATATATGTCCAAACCAAGTTCACTTTCAACAGTTTGAAAAAATTTCGGCACTGGGTATATGATATTCATTATAATAAAGGTTTTTGTATTTCCTAATGAATGAAAAACAAAACGATATTGTTGCTTTTACTGACGTTTTGCTATTTAATGCTAATAGGTTTATCAAAGTATTATTAAACCGGAATTTACAAAATCTCAGCATATATATAACAAACAGTTAGGGGGTGAGAAAATAGACTTAGGTCAAGTTAAAGGTAAAAATAGCAATGAAGATCACTAAACCAAATAACAAAGGTAATAGTACGTCTGTTATGATATCAAAATAAAGTTTACTAACTTGATCATCGTTCGTCAGTCTCGGGTCATTTTTCGTTGTCATGTTGGTCAATTGGTAAAGATAACAAAATCAAAATCAAGTGTAGATTGTTGGATTTGATCGGTGTTTAAAATTATAAAAGTAGTGTGTGTTTACATAGTGGACTTACATATCATATTCTTGTTGTTTTTGTCACTTGATGGAGGTGGGAGGTGTTGTAACCAGGTCAGATTCTGTTTTAGTCCATCATTCCTATTCAGGCAATTTGGATCCCACTTGATATGAAGTGCTTCTGATATTAAACGTTCTTTGTGATTTCTGAAGATTTTCTGGATTATTTCAACATTGTCAAAATCAATTTTGTGGCCTGATTCTATAGCATGTAGACCTATGGCTGATGATTTTTCAAGTCTTTGTAGTTCAACAGGATTCTTCGGTGGTCGAATAGATGCTCTACGGTGTTCATTTCTTCTGATTTTGATTTCATACTGGCGATGTTTGTCCGATGTATATCGCATCACATTCCAAGCATTTTATTTTATAGATACAATTCGGTAGAGAATCTCCAGGGATTTGGTCTTTTATATGGACAAGGTTGCTTTGTAATGTGTGTTATGTTTTGAAGAAAACTAATGTCGAGCTGATTGAGTACTCTTCTGATATCCTCCGACGTCTCTGCTCTATATGGAATGACAACTGTTGAGGTCCATGTTTTCGGAATGCGTTTTCTGTCTTACTTAATGTCTGTGTTGATTTTGTTGATGAAGTTCCTTTGGTAGTTGTTTTGCTTGAGGAGAGTTTCAGTAATGCTTGATATTTCTTCTTCTTTTTCTTTCTCGTCAGTTATCAGAGTGTGTGCTCGTCTAAGAAGACTTGAAACAACTGAAATCTCTGCGCTGATGGGGTGTGATGATTTGAAGTCTAAATATTTATTTGAGTGGGTTTTCTTCATGAATATGGATATACTAAAATGTTCGCTTTCCCTTCTCTTAACTAGGTAGTCTAGAAATGGTAGTTCACCGACGTCTGATTCTGCCTACTTCCGAAGTAAACTGGATTCTGGGAGATACATAGTTTATTTTCTCCAGGAATGAATTGTGTAGATCTCGTCTTAGTACTACAAAAGTATCATCTATATATCTTAACCATATTTTAGGAGTGAATATGCTTGAAAAGATGTTGTGTAGTTGTGTACGACTCCCACATATACCAGCAGTATTTGATAGCCAGTCTTATCGAAGTGAAGTAATCTAAACATCGAACGGGCATTTTCCTCGTATAGGACTGAGCCCCTCATCAACGGTGTAGTTGGTTTGATTCAGCTCATAGTTGAAGCCGACCGAATTCCGGCTAGATAGTTACTTGGGCGAATTTCGGTAATATGTGAAATTAAATTCTCAATCTGAAAAATTAATTTATGATAATTCAGGTAGGAGTGTGAGGATAGAAGCTTTACCGCAAATATTGTCGTGCACACCTTTAAGACAGTCAAGCCTTAACATTTGACACGAATACAACACTCCTCTAAGCACGCATAATGCATAAAGTCGTATAAGACCAACTACTCGAGGAAGTTCGAATCGTAATTGACCGCCTCTGACTAATTATGTTCTGGTTAGACTACAGAATGATATCAATTAGAGAACCATTGAAGACCGACTAGGGCGTACTGGACAGCTGTCTTATTCTAGTTTGGGATTCATTGGCAGTACACACCCTTGTGGGTACAAGACGAAGTTGTTTGGGGTTCTAGTGAGAAGTCGTGATCAGTGGGGTCCATCCAGTCAGGAGTGAGGAGGGAGTTCCCGCCGATGACACTGATTGGTGGTGGCGCTAAATCACGAATTTATAGAGGTTGGAATTCATGGCCTAGCCAGTGAATAGGGTTCCAGTGGCTGAATGGTATACGAACTTACCTTGTGACCAGAAGGTGTTGGGTTCGAAACTTAGTTGATGTGTGTTCCGATGATGAAACCCCAACTAGGATGAAACAGCTGTCCAGTACTCCCTAGTTGGTTTTCAATGGTTCTCTAACTGATATCAATCCGTGGTCTAACATAAAACAAATACAATCCCTATAAATTAATTCTTGATAATTATGTTCTGTTGAATAATTTGTCATGTTCCACATGTTTCCTTTTCAACGTCAACCAGAATGAACGTAACGTACGATTATTCGAGTGAGTATTTCTCACCAATCAATAATCTGATTATATTTTTCCTTTCATACTGGTTCTTTGAGGTTTATAACTGATATATAATAATATGTATAATCATGGACTTATCAACTTCAGATATGTTGGTTTCTAAGGGTTTGATTTGTTTCAAGTTTGGTTATGGAGTGTTGTCAGCTAGAAAACCACTAAAAACCAGGCTGTACTGGACAGATGTTTTGACCCAGTTTGAAACTCTTCAATAGTACACACTACATAACTAACTCATGCGAAAACGAGGTAAAACCGTTTGCCTATTTTCAGCCACATCAGTGCTATCGGTGATTCTGTTTCCTCACACCCGACTTAGTGGTAGAGCTCTAAGGTTCACTGGTTGGCAACACAAATTTAAACCGGTGGCTCGATGTTAAACACGCTCACATCGGGCCCTGAAGGTCGACCTCCCACTGAGGTGATGAGTAGTGAGTGCTGGTGGTGAAGAGTCTCACAAACTAGGATGAAACAACTATTTCGGTAGGTACTCTCTGGTTTTTCATTGGTTCTGTAACTGATAGATACTTCCTGCATTTTTGAATGCATTCTGTTGGGTAGTTAGTTATTCACTAGTAAAAATTCCTTTGTTTGTTTGATTTCATTATTTAAATCTTCTGACCCGACTACTTACTAGTTAAACTCCTGACCCGGTTATATAGACGTTTAACTGAAACCTGTCTTCCATTCGGCGTAAAATTTATTTTGATAAAGTCTCACAGTGTTGTTATACAGAGTAATGTTTACTGATGACCACGTTTCGAGCACAATTTATCACTGCTCATAGTCATTATATCAAGGCAATCACACAACTTTCTAACTTTGTTTATATAATTCCATTACTTTCCATATTTCCGGTGTGAGTGATGAGTCATTCCTTATTGCATGTGTTGCGTGTAGACTCGATAAACAAGGCAGGATTCAGTAATCCATCTCCCTCGCTCTCCATCTACCTATATTACTTTTTAGAATTTTACCCTCTCCCACCCTATTGTGTGTTAATGCATGCAGTGCAATTGCTGAGCTTTTTTCTAAATTGCTTATCTTCTCGGAGTCAACCATTCTTACCTTAGCTAAATTCTTATGTTCCGACAATCTGACTACCCCCGACCTACTAGTTTGACTGGCCTGTATAGTTGACCTCACAGTCATTGTAAGTTTTTTTGTAAATTATATTATTTTGTCTAATTGGGTCAACAGGGTCCTTTAACCTAATGGAATTATACTCTTTTACGAGTTGATCACGGACTGATATCAGTTAGAGAACTATTGAAAACCACGGAGTACTGGACAGCTGCTGTTTCATCCTAGTTTGGGAATCATCGGCAGTACGCACCCACTGGGATTCGAACCCAGGACCTTCCGGTTACAAGGCAAGCTCCTATACCATTCAGCCACTGGGACCCGATTCAATGGCTCATGAATTCTAACTTCTACCAATTCGTGATTTTAGCGCGACCCCAACTATTGTCGTTGGTGGGACATCCATCCACACACGTGACTTCTAATTGGACCTCACTGGTCACGACTTCTCACTAGAACTGCAGGAAGCTCCAACCTGAAGCAAGTCACTAGCGAGCATCAGAATAATTTTCTAAAGTTTGGTTTGTAAGGATTAGTTATGTTTTACGAGTTGATCACGGACTGATATCAGTTAGAGAACCATTGAAAACCAGGGAGTACTGGACAGCTGCTGTTTCATCCTAGTTTGGGAATCATCGACAGTACGCACCCACTGGGATTCGAACCCCAGGACCTTCCGGTTACAAGGCAAGCTCGTATACCATTCCCAAACTAGGATGAAACA